GGGGAGGGGCTTAAATTAAAGGGGGAGGGGATTAAATGGAGGGAGAGGAGCTTGGGAAAAGGGGCGGAGCTTAGGGAGAAGGGGCGGGGCTTAAAGAAAAGGGGCGGGGTTTAGAAAGAGGCGGGGTTTAGAGGGGAAAGGGGCGGGGCTTGGAGGGAAAGGGGCGGTGCTTAGAGGGGAAAGGGGCGGAGCTTAGCGGGAAAGGGGCGGGGCTTAGAGCAAAGGGGCGGGGTATAGCTCAAAGGGGGCGTGGCTTAGCACCAAGGGGTGGGGTTTAGAGGAAAAGTAGGCGTGGTTTAGCACAAAGGGGGCGTGGTTTAGAGCAATGTGGGCGGGGTTTAGAGCAAAAGGGCGTGGCTTAGCACAAAAGGAACGTGGTTTAGAGCAAGGGGGTGTGGCTTAGCGTAAAGGGGCGTGGCTTAGTGCAAAGGGGCGGGGCTTAAAGAGGATATGGGCGGGGCTTATTGAAAAGGACGTGGCTTTTGCGGAAGGGGCGGGGCTTAGAGGGGAAAGGGGCGGGGTTTAGATGAAGTGGGCGGGGTCAGAATAGGAAAGGGGCGGGGCTTAGAGGGGAAAGGGGCGGGGTTTAGATGAAGTGGGCGGGATTAAAATAGGAAAGGGGCGTGGCTTAGACGAAAGGGGCGGGGCTTAGAGCGAAGAGGCGTGGCTTAGTTGAGAAAGGGGGCGGAGCCTGGATGTAAGGGGCGTGGTCTATGGAAAGGGGGCGGAGCTTATAGGGAAAGGGGCGGGGCTTGGAGGTAATGGGCGTGGCTTAGCGCAAAAGTGGCAGGGTTTAGACCGAAGGGGGCGTGGCTTAGCGCAAAGGGGGCGTGCCTTAGAGCGAAGGGGGCGTGGCTTAGCACAAAGTGGGCGGGATTTTGAGCAAGGGGCGTGGCTTAGCGCAAAGTGGGCGGGGTTTAGAGCAAGGGGGTGTGGTTTAGCATAAAGGGGCGTGGCTTAGTGCAAAGGGGCGGGGTTTAGAGCAAGGGGCGTGGCTTAGCACAAAAAGGGCGTGGCTTTGCACAAAGGGGGCGTGGTTTAGCGCAAAGGGGCGGTGCTTACAGTAAGGGGGCGTGGCTTAGCGTAAAGTGGGCGTGGTTTAGAACAAAGTGGGCGGGGTTTGGGGCAAAGGGGGCGTGGCCTGACCTGGGTGACGGTGCGGCAGATCTTCAGGTGGGGGGAGGGGAGCAGCAGCGGGGGCGGGGCCGCGTTGGGGGCGGGGCCCGAGGAGGCCACGCCCCCTTTGTCCGGCCCCTCCCCCTCGGCCTCAAGCCCCTCCCCCTCGGCCCCGCCCCCCTCCGGGGGCTCGGCCCCGCCCCCGGCGCGGATTTCGGGGATCAGGCTCTGGAAAAAATAATAAAATAAGGGAAATTTGGGGAGAAATGTCGAGGAAAAAATCGGGAGTTTTGGGCTGAAAATTGGGGGGGAAAATTCCGATTTTTAAATTAAAAATAAGGGGAAATAATCTCAGTTTTGGGCAAGAAAATAGGGAAAAATTGGGAATTTTGGGGTAAAAATTAAGGGGGGAAGGGGAATTTTGTGTAAGAAATGGGGAAAAAAAGGGAAAAAAATTGGGAATTTTGGGATAAAAATTGGGAAAAAAAAAATCCAGTTTTTAAACTAAAAATAAGAGGGAAATAATTTGATTTTTGGGCAAAGAAATGGAATAAACGGGAATTTTGGGCTAAAAATTGGGAAAAAAAATAGATTTTTAAACTAAAAGTAGGTGGAAAATAATCCGATTTTTGAAGAAAAAATGGAAACAATTGGGAATTTTGGAATTAAAATTGGGGGAAAAAAAGGGGAATTTTGTGTAAAAAATGGGGAAAAATTATCTGAATTCTGAGATAAAAATTGGGGAAAAAAATCTGATTTTTGAACTAAAAATAGGGGGGAATAATCTGAGTTTTGGACGAAAACAATTTGGGAATTTTTGGCTAAAAATTGGGAAAAAAACCTGATTTTTAAATTAAAAATAGGGGAAAATAATCTTAGTTTTGGACAAGAAAAAAAGAAAAAATTGGGAATTTTGGGTTAAAAATTTGGGGAGAAAAAAGGGAATTTTGTGTAAAAATTGGGGGAAGAAAAGGATAAAATTGGGAATTTTGGGTTAAAAATTGGGGAAAAAATCCCATTTTTAAACTAAAAATAAGGGGGAAGTAATCTGAGTTTTGGACAAGAGAAAAAGAAAAAATTGGGACTTTTGGGATAAAAATTAGGGGAGAAAAAAGGGAATTTTGTGTAAAAATTGGGGGAAAAAAAAGGAAAAAATTGGGACTTTTGGGATAAAAATTAGGGGAGAAAAAAGGGAATTTTGTGTAAAAATTGGGGGAAGAAAAGGAAAAAATTGGGAATTTTGGGATAAAAATTGGGGAAAAAAAATTCCAATTTTTAAACTAAAAACAAGGGGGAAATAATCTGACTTTTGGAACAAAATAAAAAAGTAAAAAATTGGGAATTTTGGGTTAAAAATTGGGGAAAAAATCCAATTTTTAAACTAAAAACAAGGGGGAAATAATCTGATTTTTGGAACGAAATAAAAAAGTAAAAAATCGGGAATTTTGGGCTAAAAATTGGGGAAAAAATCCCATTTTTAAACTAAAAACAAGGGGGAAATAATCTGACTTTTGGGAACAAAAAAAAAGTAAAAAATTGGGAATTTTGGGCTAAAAAAGGCGTTTTTCGGGCCAGGAAAGCGGCGTAAAAACGGGGATTTTTGGCAGCGGCGCCGGGATTGGAATGCGCGGGCTGCTAATTAAGCTAATTAGCGTAATTAGCTAATTACCTTGAGGCTGTCGGTGCTGATGCTGATGCTGGGTCTCTTGGGCGCCGTCGCCCCCCAGCGGCGCCGCCGGGGCCCCCCCGAGGCCCCGCCCCCTTCCGGCTCCAGCCCGGCCCTGGCTGCTGATTGGGTATGCTAATTAGCTCATTTGCATAGCCCACAACCCAGCCCCGCCCCCTTCCGGCTCCAGCCCGGCCCTGGCTGCTGATTGGGTATGCTAATTAGATCATTTGCATAGCACACAACCCAGCCCCCTTCCGGCTCCAGCCCGGCCCTGGCTGCTGATTGGGTATGCTAATTAGCTCATTTGCATAGCCTGGAACCCAGCCCCGCCCCCTTCCGGCTCCAGCCCGGCCCTGGCTGCTGATTGGGAATGCTAATTAGCTCATTTGCATAGCCCACAACCCAGCCCCGCCCCCTTCCGGCTCCAGCCCGGCCCTGGCTGCTGATTGGGTATGCTAATTAGCTCATTTGCATAACCATAAACCCATCCCCTTTCCGGCTCCAGCCCGTCCCTGTCTGCTGATTGGGTATGCTAATTAGATCATTTGCATATCCACAAACCTGCCCTCGTCCAGCCCTGTGCTGATGATTGAGTATGCTAATTATCTCATTTGCATAACCATGAACCCAGCCCCTGTCCAGCTCCAGCCGTGGCTGCTGATTGGGCATGCTAATTTGCTCATTTGCATAACCATGAACCCAGCCCCTGTCCAGCTCCAGCCCAGCCGTGGCTGCTGATTGAGTATGCTAATTACCTCATTTGCATAACCATGAACCCAGCCCCTGTCCAGCTTAGCCCTGGCTGCTGATTGGATATGCTAATTAGCTCATTTGCATATACACAAACCTGCCCCAGCTTAGCCCTGTCTGCTGATTGGATATGCTAATTAGCTCCCTTTAACCCCTTTTCCTCCCTTCCCCCCAAGCCCCGCCCCTTCCCCTCCCTCATTTGCATCCCCCATCCCGCTCATTATCCGCTCATTAATTATGCAAGCCCCGCCCACTCACAGAGCACGGCAATCTTCCTCTTGAAGCCCCTGGGCGTGGCCTGGGGAGAGAGGGGGCGGGGCCAAGGGGAGGGGGCGGGGCCAGGGGCGTGACGTCAGCGAGGGGGCGTGGCCTCCGCGTCAAGCCCCGCCCCCTCTCCCATTGGCCCCGCCCCCTCCAGGCCCCGCCCCCTTTCCCCATTTCCGGCGCTGGGGGGGGGAAGGGCGATCCCAAAGTTCCGATTTTTCGCCCCAAAAAAACCCCGAATTTGGGGCTCCAAAGTTCCGCTTTTTTACCCCAAAACGGGATTTCGGGGTCCAGGTCGCTTTTCGTCCCGAAAAACCAAATTTTTGGGTCTCCAAAGTCCATTTTTTTCGCCTCAAAAAACGAAATTTTTGGGTCTCCAAAGTCCATTTTTTTCGCCCCAAAAAACGAAATTTTTGGGGTCTTTGAGTCCGGTTTTTTTCGCCCCAAAAAACGAAATTTGGGGGTCTTTGAATCCAGTTTTTTCACTCCAAAAAACGCAATTTTGGGTCTCCAAAGTCCATTTTTTTCGCCCCAAAAAAGGGAATTTTGGGGTCTTTGAATCCGGTTTTTTTCACTCCAAAAAACGGAAATTTTGGGGCTTCCGAAGTTGCAGTTTTTTACCCCAAAATGGAATTCTGGGTTCCAGCTCCATTTTCACCACAAAAGTGAATTTTTGGCGTCTCCAAGTCCATTTTTTACCCAAAATCGGAAATTTTGGGGGGTCCGGGTCCATTTTCTGCCCCAAAAGTCGAATTTTTTGGGGTCTTCAAAATTCCATTTTCTGCCCCAAATTTTGAATTTTTGGGGGTCTTCAAAATTCCATTTTCTGCCCCAAATTTTGAATTTTTGGGGGTCTTCAAAATTCCGTTTTCTGCCCCAAATGTTGAATTTTTGGGGTCTTCAAAATTCCATTTTCAGCCCCAAATTTTGAATTTTTGGGGGTCTTCAAAATTCCATTTTC